AGGGCACGTGTTCTTAGCCTTGGTTGGTGGAATTCTAGAGCAGAGCTGTAGATGTCTATTGAGGACTTGAAATGTGGCTGGGAGCTGCAATTTTTATTTTAATTTTGACTTAAATGTCCACATGGGTGTAGTGGCTACCATATTGGACAGCACAGTTCTAGAGGGTCTGTGAATGGGTTTCGACATTTTATAAACCTTTTGGTTTTTCTAGGAAGTGAGTCCATGGCTTTCTCAAAGCCACCAAAAAGTTTATGATCTGCTGCTTTAAGGCTTTGGTGAAAAGTAAGCAATTAAGAGAGCTAAGTATGCCCTCTAGTAACCGCTGCTGTTTCTCCTCTCTCATTTTCTCCTGTCCGCAGCTGTAGGTGCCTCTTCCCCATGAACCCCTATGTTGTTTACTTCTTCACAGCAGGCTAGGACCATTAGCTCAAAGCCCACTGTTGCCAAACTCAAATTCTCACACTTTCCAACTGCTTTAAATATAATGCAAAAACAAAACAAAACAAAAAACATTTTTTAAGCCACTTGGAGCCTACCTACTTTACATACACCACAAAACTTCACCCAACATCTGCTAAGCATAGATAAGTTAAATGGTGGCGCTATAAAAGATCCCAATCTGCTTCAGCCCTTTGGAGTTGTCTGACCCAGAGACTCCCCACTAAGCTGCTGAGTGACATTACCTACATAACGGAAGTCCCCTCTCTGATTTCCCCTTCTTCCCTGGAAATTCCCTGCCCTATTCTCCATCTGGATGGTGGCCCCCTGCCTCTGTCTCTGGAAGGTCGCTTGTTGGGAGGGACTTGCCCTTTCATACAGCTCTGTGCAAGCACTGCCCAAATAAAGCTTGTGTGCTACTGCCTCTCACGGTCCCATCTCTTCCTTGGTCACCCCCAAAGCCCTGAACTCACCACAGATCCCTATAAGAGATCTTATAAGACTACAAAAGTCTTGCTCTCTTTTCCCCTGGGAGAAGATTTTAATGTCTACAATGCAACCGTTCCTTAGGCACCTGAAAACTTATCTCAAAATTCTCTGGGACTAGGATTCCTGAAACAAGTTTTCAACTAAAACTGTGAATTGGTAAATACATGTTCAACTTCAGAGAAGAAAGGTAATTCCAGATCATTGAAATTTTTACACAAACAGTGGGTGGAGTATTGACATATTTAAGGAGCAGACAATGTCAAAAAGATTCTGACATTGACTTAGGTATTTCGATTCTTGCCCTTCAAAGCCTGGTCTCACCTCTACACACACAAGGCTGCTTGTTACAATCACCCATGACTCTCTGCCTGAGGGTTTTTTTTTCTCACCTTTGGAGCACGATGAACATGATACAAGGCCAACTGGAAGTGCCAGAGATCTATTGCCCCTGGAAGTAGCTATCCGTTTAATAATAATGGCGGGGGTTTTGGTGGCTACATACTCCAGCTTCCTTGTCCTACACTCGGGATGAATCTGAGGTATATTCTACATAGTCTCCCATAGTGCTCCCCCTCCCTGGAATAAGCCCCACTTGTCCATAGTGGTGACTTGCTAGACCATCCTCCTTAATTGGCTGTCCTCCTTCTGAGCTCACTTCCCCACACCCCTACCAGTGCTACCTGGGATTCCCTCTCAAGTAGGCTATTTGTACTCACAGGTTTGTCTCAGGGTCTGCTTCCTGGAAATCCACACACGGACACCTTGTATGTTAAAAATTCATTTAATTCACCCTCACACGCCAGTGTTTACCTGGAATTAGAATTCTAGGCTTAGAGTTATTTATACCAATACTTGAAAGATATGCTCTACACCATTCTTTTTCTCCTGGGCGTTTCTGCTTGCCTCTTTATCTCCTTTTTTCTTTTTCTCTATTGATGAAGTATATCGGGAATATAGAAATGTATAGGAAACAGTATAAGGAAAGCCTGTAGACTCACCTCCCAGATAAGGAAATAAAAGTTCAAACACAGTGACTGCATCTATCCCTCATGGAAGCACCATCCTGAATTGGGATTTGCCATTCTCGTGTCTGTATAACTGTTATATAGAATAAGCAGGGGCTAAAACCCAATAATTTTGTTCCCTAACCCTTCCCAATGCCCCAGCCAAGTTCATTCTACTGGGTTCTTTCTTCTGCGCTCCCCATCATCAGTCCCAGGGTCAGCCTCATGACTTTTTTGATCACTATCAAGTAATAGAATATCTTCGGTGAGCTTAATATTCCACACCGTCAGTGAATGACAACTCTAATCTGCTTTCAATGTCAAAGCCTCTGCCTTCCCCCAGTTCAGGCCTGGCCCAGGCTGAAGCCTGCAGTAGGAAAGGGGAATGAGATGTGGCATGGTCCTTCCACTGGGACTCCACCAGCATCTCCTTACCTCCCCTTTTGCAACCACTTTTCTCCCCCAGGGTCTATTGCGCACAGGGAGGGACAAGAGATCAGGGTCACGACAAGTCTCCCTTATCTGGATGGAGTTTAGCAGCTGTTTAAATCTTTTTCTCCCTTGGTGGGGGCTTTCGTGGCTATTTTGGAGACCCCATCTCTGGCCTTGACCCCTGCAGTTCTGTGACATGTGGCCTCCACACAGAAGAGAACTCCTCTCAACCCTCGCAGTCACTCCCATTTTCAATTCCTTATTTGTGATTCTGACTTCTCCCAGACTCTCTTAAACTTCCGGGGAGACAAATCAAGACCTCCAAGTGGCCTCCTTGAAGCTCCACCCCCCTGGTAAATTTGAGGTTGTGGGCATTTCCATTTGTAAACTCAGCAGCTTTTTCAGCCTCTCTAAACAAGGCCCCTCTTGACTCCGAATCCCCCAGACTCTGCAATGTTACTAAACATTGTCTAAGTAGCCGGAGTTCATGTGTTTGCGGCCTTTGGGTAGCATGGAGAAGGGTCAGAAGTACAGAGACCACATGAACAAAAACGCATCAAACCAAAAGAAGTGAAATCAGAATTTTGATTTTAATGCTTCCATCAGGGGAAGGATTTGTTGATCCACATCATTTTCTGGGATTTTTCATAATCCCCAATGATAATAGGTGGGTTATTCACATGACTTTTTGGCAAAGGCCAACTCCACTCTGGCGTGGTTTGTGTCAGCATCCACAGCCACCTTGACAGATGCACATCATTTCTGTGCCCCCCAAGTTGCCTACCGAGTAAAAAGCTCAGCACGGTTTTGGGGGCCAGGGTGAGTTTTAGGTATTCATCTATCTTCCTCCTGATGCGCAGTGTGGGGCTGCTTGGTTTAACTTCAGAGTCTCCTTTACCCATGACTGGTTGACACCCTAGATGGCTTCAGGAAGAGAGCACAACCGAGAAAAACCTGTGAAAGTTAATGGAATCCAGAATTACCTGTAGGAGAAATACCAAGTGGGTCCAGAAGCCCCTGTGCACTTCCATCTCCCTAACATGCACATGTGCACATGCACAGACACACACACACAAGCCAACTTGGTCATAAGATACTGCCTTGGGGCAACATCTGATTTGAAATGCCAGCCTTATCATTTCTTTGATTCCCACATATATATGAAAATATTTCTAGAATCTCTGTTTTGTTCCATTGACATATTTATCAATTCCTGTTTCCATTGTTACTCCCATAGAGTAAGTTTTAATATACAATATGACAAGCTCCCTCTCTTAGGTAATCCCTCACATTTACTCTTCAAGGTAATTTTATTATCTAGTCATCCAGTTCCATGCACGCACTCAAAATCCTGTTGTGATTTATGATTGGAATTGCACTGAATTCATAGATTAATTTAGAGGAGAATTGATACCATCTCAAAACTTAGTCTTCATTTCTAAAAAAAAAATGATATTTAAAAAATACTATTTTAGTGTCTAAACAGAAAGCTCATAAAAAGTTTCATGCAGGGCCGGCCCCGTGGCTTAGCAGTTAAGTGCGTGCGCTCCGCTACTGGCGGCCCGGGTTCGGATCCCGGGCATGCACCGACGCACCACTTCTCCGGCCATGCTGAGGCCACGTCCCACATACAGCAACTAGAAGGATGTGCAACTATGACAGACAACTATCTACTGGGGCTTTGGGGGGAAAAAAAGGAGGAGGATTGGCAATAGATGTTATCTCAGGGCCGGTCTTCCTCAGCAAAAAGAGGAGGATTAGCACGGATGTGCTAATCACAGGAAAAAAAAAAAAAAGAATAAAAAAAAAGTTTCATGCTTATTTCTCCTATGTTTTCTAAAAAGTTAATTATATTTGTAAGTGTTTTACAATGTTTGTGACCACTTTGAATAGGATATTTTATTTCTATTATATTTCCTAATTATTAGAAGAGTATGCAAAATTTATTTTTGTATGTGTTTAACTGATATCAACCAATCTTTCCTAATCTATTTCCTAGGTGATTGCCTAGGTTTTTTTATAGGAAGGCAATCCCTTAGGAGCAAGACAGTTTTGCCACTTCCTTTTGTTAATAAAATACTGTACACTACTAATAGTTCTCATCCCTCTCCAATTTCTTTTAGATACTGATCACAGTATCTCAGTGTCTTTCCATGGTTCTCTATGGGATGGGAGGAAACCTGGGTGACTGAGCCTCCCCTGCCACTCAAGGAAGGGAGTGTGTGGCCTGGGTCCCTCTTACAGGCACCTATGCCTCCATTTCCTCAGTGGTTATGTGAGACTGAGGGGAGCATCTAGTGGGGCCAAGTCACATCTCCTCATCATAGTCATTTCAGTTGCTCAGGAGAACAGCTCTATAAAACACACAAGGTCCTGTCCTCACCATTATCCCTCTGACATCCCATCAAAATCCATGTCCTACCTCTAGACAAGGCGCACACGGCTCACACTTCAGTGTTAACTCTATAGTTGTTCCGTGTCAGACACTTGCAAGGTAATACGGCATGAGAAGTATGACTACTCAGCCGAAATTTCTACAAACACCCCATTTATGTGTATTGTGTATTACAAATGTAGTAATTTCAGAGCCGTGACCACGGCTGGATCCAGAGATCGAGAGAGAGTAGAAAATCCTACCTGAGACCAAGTTCCCTTGCACCTCTCTCCAGGTGATTGGATCTTGAGGCCAGAATCACTGTCCGTTGCCCAGTGGACCTGTTGAAACACAAACAACACTGTTAGGATATTTTGGTAACTCCTCCCACAGGAGAAATTGTAGTGGAGAGATTTTGCTTGAGCCAAGGAAGAGCTCTGAGGCCAAGATAGCTGAGTGTCCAGGGAACAGATATGGAGAATGTACCCAAACATATCTACCCCCTCTTCCGGCACCTCTCCCTCACCATTTCAGCTTTGAACCACAAGTAACCCAGGTGGTTGTGGCCATCGCTTGGATCCTGTAACTGGATGTGATTACTAGGTGGTAAAGGCCATTGTGAGTCACCATGACTCCTCTTGATGCTTAACCAATCAGGCCCAAGACTTAAGGAATGAGAACAAGACAAAGAGAGAAGGAATTTTCCTTCTCACTCCTTGCCCTGTCTTCCGGACGCTTCTTCCAGAGAAAACCTGATTGGTCTGAGAAGTAAAACATCCAGATATACCAAGACAATGTAGTATTGTTTTGTGCCATCACCACACTAATCCACCTGATGAACCCCAGCCTTGCTGGCTAAAATGGGGAAGGTATGGGACTGTCATTTACTCAAATTGGCACAGAGATGCTCTAGAGAGAAGTGGGTCGGAGCACAGGCTCTAGATACAGGCTTTCTCTGTTCCAATCCCAGCTCTATGTAACCTTGGGCAAGTCCCTTAATTTCTCCTGTGAGCCAAGAATTGAGAACACAAGGGGTACCCACTCCCCACCTTGGCACTGTGTCAGATTAAAAAAATACTGCACAAGGCTTGGGGGGTGGTCATGGACAGGTATCGGGGTGACTGCAGTCTTCAAACCACTAAGGTTAAGTTTCCTCCACCTCAGCAGGAAACAAAATAAGTAAGAGTTTAGAATTTAAATTTATATTACTTGTACAGGGGTTTGTGGAATAAGATCTACACTTGCTTCACCAGTGATTTCCAAAGTAGCTAAATTTTATTTGAAGCTAAAGTAATATGAGATTTTGGAAAGAGGAAACAAATTATAGAAGCCTGTACGTTTCAGAGTGCAGATTTCAAATGTAAAATAATGTGATAGATTTAACAAAAGAAAATTGCTCATTTAACTTGCTTCACAACATGAATAATCCAGTTCAGAAAGAAACCTATTTCCCAGGGACAGGGAAAACTCAGAGCTGAGAAGGCAGCTCTTCAAAAGACCAGTAAAAATTCAAATTAAAATAAGTTTGTGTATGTGAATTAAGTCACCAGTTGAGAAATGGCCTAACACTTTGACTACAACCTAACAATTTGTTGTGTGTCAGGTGATTAACTGAGTTATCCAATAATGTGTTCACAATGTCCCTGGGCCCATCATGCTCTTACTCAGTAGATGCTAAGGACCCCTGCTGTACCCCACACACCATTCTAACAATCTCCCCAGAGCTCAGAGCAGCGGGGCTTCTCACTTTTATTCTGGGGGCCTGGCATGGAGATAGGCTTTCTATGCCTTTGAAAATCTGATGATAGAAGTGGACATTCTCCCCAGAGAATGCCCTGACCCACCACCTGTGTAGTGTAATTCATACACTACACATAATTCATACACCAGAAACCCAGTCATGGAACCCCAGTGAAGGATATCGGTGACCTCCCTCTGAGTGAAGCTAATCCCTCCACCATGTCTCTGAATTGCCACACACATGCCTGATCTCATGCTGTTCTGTCAACAGAGGTCTTTACTTCTCCCTCAGGGAGAGTTTCTGGAATGAAGGGAGGCAGGAGTAGAAGGATGGGGTGTGTCTACTCAGCAGGTCACCAGGCTTGATGACTGAGTGTGACTCTGTGCTTAGGGGCACCGATGATGGAGCCAGGCTGCTCAGGCCCACATCCCACCCCCTTCTGTTCCTCCTTGGCTTAGGGCACTCAGGCAAGTTCTCCAACTTCCTTTTGCCTCACATTCCTCGTCTACAAAACGTAAAGTGCTCAGCACAGAACCCAGCACAGAGGACACACTCTATATTTCTTAGCGATTACTAATACATACAGGAAGGAAAAAGCCTGCCTTCATTCTCCCCCAGCTCTCTCACTTTCTTCACGCTGACGCTTGTCGAAAGGACAGGCCGTGCTCTCTGTGCTCCCTTCATGACCCACTGCTGCCCCAGTCCACCCACAACACCCAGTGATGGCCTACGTGCGTGAGCACTTCCAGCCCACGACACTGGGCACCCGTGTCCCCCACTCCCTGGGGACCTCCCTCATTGTCCCAGCACTGCTCTCACCTGGTTCTCCTCCTCTGCATCCTGCCTGTTCCCTCTGTTCCCAGGACAAGAAGGGCACACAGACTTCATCCACAGTGCCCACTGTCTGTCACCAGGATGACTAGGCAGCACCCTCCTACCTGGTCTCCCTGCTTCACCCTAAGGCCAACTACAGCCTCTTCACAACCAAGCAGCCACAGGGACCCTTCCAAAACATAAGACAGAACTCGCCACTCCTCTAAGGATCCAAACCCTTCAGGGAGTGCAGATCTCACGTACAGCAAAACCCAAAGAATTTATAGTGGCCTCCGAGGCCCTGCACAGCCTGGCTCCCTATTACCTCTCTGACCACATTTCCTGCTATTCTAGCCTTCGCTTACTCTGCCCCAACCACTTAAGTTTTTCTAGAATACATGAGACACATTCTTGCCTCAGAATCTGTGCACAGGCTGTTGCATCTGTCCAGATAGCTCTTCCCCCAAATAGCTGCCTGGTGAACTCCATCACCTCCTTCAAGACTTGGCTCAACTATTGTTTTCCAATGAGGCCTACTCAGACAACCTAATTCTAAAATGCAATCCAAGCCCCCTGCCAGCCCTCAGGAACCCCCTGGTCCTGCTATATTTACCCATAGCATTTATTACCTTCTGACATACCATGTATTTTATTATTTATTATGTTTATTGTCCTCTTTTCCCTCCTCCTATGAGAAAATTACCTCCACAGGGCCAAGATTCTTGCCTCTTTTATTCAACGATTAACTCCAAGTGCCCAGAATGTTGTCTAGCTCATAGTCTGTACTCAGCAGATATTTATTAAATGAATAAATAAATGCAATATGTATAGTAGAGTAATTGATAATGAAGCAAACAATGGAAAGGTGGTAACAATGATAATCTAAGAGTTCTATGATAAATTTCCTTTGGGCTCCATAAAGGGAGTCAGAGTATAAAGGACAAATATTGGTCATTCCTAAAGTGTTACATAGCGACAATACCTCACACGCACACACACAAATCCTGTGGATCTATGCAACAAGTGATTACTAACCACCTGCTGTGTTGCCAGGCACTATCCTAAGCACTGTGGATACAATGATGGGCGCCAGACTTTCTGTTTGCACTTGGCCCCATTCTCACACCCTTCTTTGCCTCTGCTAATATCCCAGGGGCAGAAATCCTTGATACTGTATTCTCAGAATCCCTTGCTAAGAAAGTTTCAGTCAGGGTCTACATCGAGAGGATCTCTGGAGAGATGTGAAAGCCACGATGGAGGTTGAGTTAATTCTTTCTCTGGGAGTGGTAGTGGTGACAAGTGCAGGCTTGCAGTGGTGGCGCTGTCTGGAGCTTTTTTGGATTCCACATTCCCCTATCAGTCTCCTGTTCTGCAGACTCAGGACATTTTTGTCCCTTTGCACAGCTTCCTGCACTGTCCTGATTCCTCAATGACATTCAGAGCCCTTGACCTTTGCTCCTCCAGACCTTAAACAGATTTGTCATCCCCTAGTTCTCAGCAGTAGATCTTTTCCTTCTTGAAATGCCTATAGTGGCTTCTCTTTAGGTAACTGTTCTTGAGTGATGCAGGGAAGAAGGCAGATAAGGTCTGCCTTTACCAACCTTCTAATAAAAGGGAATATGGCCAAGGGAACAGGCAATTAGTATATAGTGTGAAGTGTCCACCGGTCGGTCAGTTTGTCAGATATCCAGTCAGTTGATAAAAATTGGTGAGGGCCTACACATTTAGCAATTGAAACAGGAATCCAAAATATGTCAATGGAACAGAATATAGATTTTCAACGCAGACTCATGCATATAACAGAGTGAAAGAAATGATAAGGTTGACATTTGAAGTCAGACGATTGTAAAAGCAATCTCTTATGTCTACACTGGAAATGAGTGTGAGTGTGACAGGCAGGTGGCACGGGGAAGAGGCCCCTGGAGACACTGGATTAAGTGGGTTTCATCATCTTTTTCAGGCTTTCTCGGTTGTGCTCTCTTCCTGAATCCATCTGTGGTCTCAACCAGTCATGGATAAAGGAGGCTCTGAAGTTAAGCCGAGCAGCCCCTCACCGAGGATCCCGAGGAAGAGACCTAAATACTTAAAGCCCAAAAACCTTGCCTCCAAAAATGTGGTGACCTTTCTACTCAGCAGGCAACTGGGGAGGCAGAGAAATAATGTGGATCTGTCACAGTGGCTGTGGATGCTGACATGAGCCACACCAGGGTGGAGTTGGCCTTTGCCAAAAAATCACATGATTTACCTGCTTATGCCTGCCCTTAATTTTGGAAAATTAAAAAAAAAAAAAAAAGAAAAAAGATTTAAAAGCAACTCCTCCCTTGTATCAGCTGTTAAAATAAAAGCTGTGTTTTCACTCCTTTTGGTCTGATGTGGGTTTATGCCTATACAGCTTTCTTGGGTAGCACTGGAGAGGGGAGCCTATTCCTTCTAACATTCTGTGCAGGAGTCTCAGACACTGGGAGATGGTGAGATCATGCTGCATATCAGATTTTTCCCACCTTTAATCCGATGAAAAAGGAAGGGAATAGTTATGTATACTAGGTCATTCCAAGACCCCAGACTCCTCTCCCTAGGCGTTTTGGAGAGACCTCCACTAAAAACTAGTTGCCTCCGCTGGTGAGAAGGCATTGAGAACAGGCCATGAGCGGGTGGGAGGTTTAAGTTACCCCTCTTTTTATTATTCTGACGCTTAGGAGAGTGCCATATAGAAACTGCAGCACTGTGTCTTGGTTGGTTCTATTTAATATTAAAAAATGAGAGCACAAGGCATTTTAATTTGGGAACATCACACCTTCAAGGCCTTCTAAAAGGAATCGTTCTTCTCACTGTCCCCAAAGAAGTGGAATCCCCAGGGCCCTTTATTTGTACCATGTGAAATAAACCAGTTCAGGCCACAGCTGACTGAAGAGAAGTCACTTGACTGAAGTGAAGCCAGCCCTTGGTCCACAAGACTTGTGCGAGGGCTCCCACAAAAAAGGCTCCCCAAAGGCGTGTGTTGGGAAGTCAGATCTCACTGGGAGAAACTGGAAATGGGAATTGTAGGAACTGGGCATTCAGGAGTGAGAGCTAAGCTGAAGGGAGGACAGGGAGAGCTCAGGGGTAGGGGCAGGGGGATTGGGAAAGCCTAAATGACGAGTAAGCTTACATCAAAACAAGGGGAAAAGTTCAAACCATCACACATTCCAAGCAGGACTCTTATCCTGCAATGTGATGTCCAGAAGGAAACTCCAGGCAGCCTCTCTCTTCCCCCTCTCCTCTCTTCTCCATTGTGTCCTCACAACTTGTAGAGCATTCCTACAACGCCTTTCCTGTCTTTCCTCCTGCACCCATGTCTCAGGGGCTATATTCTCGCTCCCCTTAGCCCAGTCTCTCCCAGCTCTGTGTTATGCAGAACTATTGACACCCCCACCCCCTCTGTGTCTTTTTCACCCTCCTCCCTGTTCCTGTCCCCTTGGCTGTGCACTCTCTGCTTTGGCATTGTCAAACATAGCCACTAGTCCTTCCTCAGAGGGTCAGGTGTGGCTGTGGGGTAGAGGCGAGGGTCTCAACACCCCCGTGTGGGCGACTAGTAACCTACCACTCATGAGGAAACAGAGGCTGTGAGCTGGAGGAAAGTGAAGACCTGAGGCTGGAGACCAACAGGTAGGGCACGAAGGAGACACACCTGGCAGCAGAGACCGATGACAGCCAACCTCCTACAGTCAATCCACTGGCAACCAAGAGAAGACATAACACTCAGGCCGTAGAGCTTCATGTACCAACGTGGATAAACCTCACAACCTTCATATCGACGGAAAAAACAAGCATCACAGAGGAATGTAGCAAAAGGTAACTAAAATGTGCCAAGCAGTCTTGAATATATACATATGTAGTAAAGGTCCCCCAAGGAGTGCAGCAGGATGTTCAGGGGGAACTCTCTCTCATCTCAGACTTGGCTGACTCCCCAGAACAATTGGTTCCGACTACCCCCCATCTCACAGGGGCTCCCTGACCATCCATGGAGGACCGGTAAGGAAAGCAATCACACACACTCATGTGAGCGCTGACCACTCACCCACGGGAGGGCGTGGACTAACATGGGACATTCTGGGTGGATTGAAGACCACAGAGGCTCTTCACAGAGGCTCAATGGTGGGCTGAGTTTACAGGAGGAAAATACGCTTCACCTACTGGGAGGAGGAGGTCTCAAAGTGTCCACATTGAGGGCGTGCTTTGTCTCTCCAGAAGTCAGAATCACACATAAGAAATTCAAAAGGGGAGTGGCTAAGGGGAGATAGAGAATGAGAGGAGATTTGGCTGGGATTCTCCATAGGAATTTTTCTCAAAAGATGCTTGTGGAGGCTGTACGTAGCCTTAACCGGGAAAATCTGGATGCAGGTGAGCCTCAGGGACTAGAGGCTGATTGGAGAGGGCCTCACACTGTGTCACGGAAACATTCTCTCCTTCTACTCTTTAATTTCTGCCTGCTGCCTCTCATTGGCCAAACCCATCTGCTAGGCAGGGAGCAAGGAAGCCACAGTAATGCAGTCTATGGGTGTCAGCCTCCTGGGACACAGAGCAATGGACAGAAGGGAGTGTGATATATCTGGTTGGACAAACGGAGAATAATTTAAACAATCTACCACTTTTTCCACAGCCAGCACCCACTGTTGCTTTGCTCAGATGAAGAAACCCCTTGCTCAAAATCAGGTAACATAATGCTGTCAGCCACCTTATCACTGAAAGGTGAGATCAATTTTATCACAGCCCTGCCTGGAGCCTAAATTATAACCTTAGTGGTCACAAGAAGTTTTTCTACATATTATCATGGAATGGATAAGGGAAAAGTCATCCCATCTCCCTTCCTATAAATCAATTTTCATACTCTGCCGGCAGTTTGAAATGTTGGTGGATCTTTACCTGCTGGAGTGATCCAGACATTCATTGCCAAAGGATCTGAATCCTTGGAGGTGATGCCATTATTGAGTTGCATCAGCTTTCTACTGGACAGCAGAACTGTACGTGGGAGTGCTAGGAGGCACCCCAGTGAATCCCCTCAGTTCCAGACGTAACCCTCTTTCCCCACCGCTGTGAAGCATCAACCCAAATTCCACTTGGTAATCTAGATCATTCACCCATTCAGTACAGCGACCCCTTCTCAGCTATCAGTTTTCTGCCCAAAGGCCTGAAAATGGGCAGGAGACAATGAATCAATGTCACTTTCCAGTTTAATAGAACCATGGATATGTTCCATGGGAGAGGCATTCTTGCCTTGAGTACTTTAACCTCCAAACCCTCCAAGGCCAATTTTGAGGGGAAGGAAAGGAAAAATCTGTAAATGGTTTCTTGGGTATAAGAGTGGGATGAGTCGCTCTCTACCCTATCCTGGTCTGGAGGTATGGCACCATAGGTAGCTTGCAGGTCCAGAACTTGATCTACATCCTCTAGGATAGCCCTCCAACTTGGCAGGCTTCTGTCTCCCATGTAATGCTATAGCTGAGTTTTCAGCACACCATTCCAGCACTGTATGAGGCCAGATGCTTCTGGGTGATGGTAAGGCCAATAGATTACAAGGGTCTGGGCTCATATACAAATTCACTTTCCATAAAAATAGTTATTGGACAAAAGTAATGTTCTGAGGAAACCACGGTGTTGGAGAAGTTGTTCATGAGTCCAAGAATTGTGGCTCTCATAGGATAAGAACAAGGAAGGCAAATTTATATCCTGAATATACGTCTACCCTTTTGTTGACTATTTAAACAGCTCTCCGTGATGAATTAATGCTAGACACATAATGGGTGTTTGATAAGAACTTAAGGAGGTACTAAATAGTACCTCATTTTCAGAACTTTAGAAGTGCTATTCTCCTGGGAAATGAGTAGAAGTGAGCCAATGCCCAATTTTCACGGTCTTCTGAGCCAGAATTGACTTCTACTAATCTCTGATGAAGCCAGTGGCTCTCCGGGACAAATGAATGATACATTGATCTCAGCACCCTCGCACAAGGGACAAAGTGATAATCACAGCATGTTCTGATCATCTCCTATTCAGCCAGTTGGTAAAGGAGGGATTCCTTGCCCTAGATAGTATGAGATGCCTGAACACACAACACCCAGTACTGGACAGATGAGATTGGCAGCAGTTTATTAGTCACATAGACTCACAGCCCAGGGGAGGAGACATGGCATATCATGCA